CAGCATTCGATACTAGTGATGAAATTACTGGAGGGGTTAAAGGTGGATTCCACTGTGACCTCGGAGGTCGAAAAAGAGGGAATATACTCAGGCCAAAGGTAGGCGGGTTCCCTAAAACTGCGGGGCGATGCGCTTTTTGCAGCGATTAGTATGCATCCGGCGGCTTAGCAGGGCTGTACTTGCCGCGGCACGCCCACCCTCTCGCCGTCTGACTCTAGCCGTTTCGGCAGAGAGAGCGTTATTGTTGAAGAGGGAAGCACCTATGAGAGTCGCATCAGTGCGAAAACAACGGGCAAATAAGGGGGTCCATTTCTCGGGCTCTGGTCTATTTGCTGCCCGTGGTTCGTTCTTAATCCTTATTTCATTTACCACACCTACTTTAATATCTAATGAGATGTCCTTGAATCGTAAACCCGCTTTTGGAGTGGTTTTTGTTGACATTTATTGTGTATCTTCTTTGCTCAGAAAGTTATTTATTTATCTATTTATTTATCTTCTTTGCTCAGAAAGTTATTTATTTATCTATTTACATATTTGTTTATTTATTTGCACACAAACACAAATACGGTTAGAATGCGACCTGCTGCTCTCTACATTTCTGGATGGACTCGTGTGCCATACTAATCTCGAAAATACGAATGCATAGTTTACATGATTCCATGTATACCAGTTAGGGAATTGTCAAAAAAATCTCAACCCTTTTCTTCAAAAAATGATTAGCACCCTCCATTACTGAAGGCGGTTCACTAGCAGGGAGTAGCGCTATGCACACCGTGAATTTTTTTTCGTGGACTGAGTTCTGGATCAGCTCTCATCTGGGCGAGGTAGAGTGCTAACCTTCCCTGGTAGTGCTCGTTTAAATGGCACCAGGCTCTCGTGATTCCTGAGCGCTTAATCGTACGACAGAGGCTGAAGCCATTGCAGAAGCCAAAAAAAGTTCAGCTTTCACTACGACCCTGAATGAAGTGAAATGCGTGGCGCATGACATAAAGCGGTTTATCAAATCTGTGCGATTTTTTGAGCGTGGCATATTTGGAGCTTTGCTGAGTGGGTGGCTCAGCTGCACTGATTCTCAATGTGGTCAAAGGCTCTACAGAAATCTCGTAATACCCTCACTGTGGCCAATGAAAACAGATTTCCACCCATTCCACCTTGCCTTAGCTGATTTTTATTTCGTTTCAGGACCTCTCATACAAGGACAAGCACTGGCACGAACACTGTTTCCTGTGCAATATGTGCAAGATTTCGCTGGTAGACATGCCGTTCGGTAGTAAAAACGATCGAATCTTCTGCTCAAACTGTTACGATCAAGCCTTTGCCACACGATGTGATGGATGTAACGAGATCTTCAGAGCAGGTACGGTATCACTTTACGGTATCTCTAGGGCATTCTGATGTGATGTTTGTAGCTCTTGTTAGGTTTGCAGGCCATTAGTCCGCCTACCGTGCGCCCTAATATCGGTAGAACCAAGTGCTGAGCGCGCGACCGCTTTTGGCGCCCCGGCACGGTCCCCGCGGGGTTCGCCGCGAAGTCGGGTTCCTAGACCGACGCCGGTGGTGCCTTCTCATTCTTTTATCCTTTATGGGTCTAATCTAATGGTAAGAGCCTCACAGTAGTGACAGAAGTCATTGAAGGGTCCAATCGGCCTTTGAGTGCTTCCCATTCCATCCACTATGCATGGAATTTGCCACCCAGAAGAATCGTTCGTCCAGAATCCAGCGATTTCTTTGGTACTAACTCCTTCGAGACTCGCAGACGCTTACTTTGAAGAACCCGATGATGTCATGCGGACGACTTCTCGTGCTCAGCTGGCCTAACAGGGTTATCAGCGCTTTGCGTGGATTCGTTTGTGCTTGCGATGAGGCGGTTAGCATTGACACCCCTCCCAGCATCAGCGCCAGATCGCAGAAGTGTCTTTTTCCTGTACTCACCTCTTCTTTCCTGGCTTCTCCCCTCTCTTTCGCAGCTACTGTGGGACGCTTCAAGGTTCGACCCATGTCAAAAGGTTTCAGACTCTCTATTTATTGCAGTATAGCGAAGTTCACCCCGAAAAGGCAATTTGTTCCACAGACTTAACATTCGTAGTTATTTTGTTCGAGTACGTTGCCAGCCTCGTTCTTTACTTTCCGAACCTCAATAGACTACTTGGCACGGGTGAAGCCGGTTCAGACTTTTTGGCACTGTGCCAGCAGACTCTTTAAACGCTTGTACTGACCCTTCCGAACATTCTCATTCAGCTAAAGGACCATCGAGCCTTATCCACGACAGGTCATAGTATATTTGTAACCAAGCAGGCACTCATAGTCTGTCTGGTTCCGGGAGGAATGTCAAATACACGGCACATCTCCAGGAGAGGGGGGGGGGGGGGGTAAGAAGAGGAACACCACCTTGTTTATCCTGTTCGTTTTGTCTGAGCTTCCGTCGATTTCTCAACACTGAAACACCAGGAAACATCCTTCTCTCCCATAATTGGGAAAGAGCAAAATGATGGAAGCGGAACACATTCTGGCTGTCGCAATTCTATTCTTTCTTTCTTTCTAATTCTTCTTGCCTTTCTTCTTCGCAAATCTTCATCTTTTTTAGGTATGAAAAAGATGGAGTACAAAGGAAAACAATGGCATGACAAATGCTTCTGTTGTGCCCATTGCAAAAACCCAATCGGCACCAAATCCTTCATCCCGAAAAATGAGGACGTCTACTGTGGATCGTGCTATGAAGAGAAATTTGCCACACGATGCAATAAATGCAGGAAGGTACGTTGATGGACGAGTTCCCTCGCTGTCAGGACGAGTAGCTTGCGTGGGCGGCTTTGTGTGTGTTTATGATATAACAAAACCCTCAAAAAGTGGAAATAAGCCGAAATAACCGCACTAAAAGGCTATGAGAAGCTCGTCCGAATTGGTCCCTCAAGTTTCCACGGCGCAGCGATTATTTCGTCTATGATATTTACCATAATATGAATATAACCATTCCCCATCATTGGGCTGGTTGTAATTGCGCGAACACGACACCCGCTTCCTAGACCACGTCTGAGAAACCCCGGGGCGACATTACATGCATTTTTGATGCACTTGATGCCCTCTGGTTCCCGTTCTGTGTGTATTCTGCATTTACGACATGTCCGCCATGGGAAACGACTGTTGAATAGCCCCCCCCCCACTCCCACGCAGGACTGTTTGTCGGTACTCTTTAATCCATCCGATTGATTCAGGTGATCACCACTGGCGGCGTGACGTACAAAAACGAGCCGTGGCATCGTGAATGCTTCTGTTGTACGCATTGTAATGTATCACTAGCCGGTATGTTCAAATGTTCCAGGCCATTAATTACTCTAGCCTCCCCACTCAATGATCGTAACTCATAAATTTGTTCTAGGTCAAAGGTTCACTGATAAAGAATTGAAAAAACCTAGTAGTGGAAAACCGCTACTTGTGCGAATTGTTCATCGGCGAACTGTCTGCGAAGAGATGCAGCAATGCGCTGTTTGTACGAAGCCCATCACCGGTGAGCCTCCCCGTTCCATATATAGCATTTCCTAAAGAAAGCCCGAAATGTGTGACGATTGACAGCCGGAGAGGTTGTTCCAATTTCCATGGGTTTACGCCATGCTTTCGCTTCTCATTCGAATTCGTAGACATCGATTTTATATATCGATTGTTTAAATTACTACTTTTTCGTTTCATCTTTTTGTCACGTAGCTAGAGTTACATTTTCAGGTGCTAACTTAGTTGAGGAGGGGGGGGGGGCGTTCGACGCTGGCGCCAGCGCTGGTATTTTGTCTGCGCCCTCGCCACCTTACCTTTGACGACCGCCGTTATGAATGCGTCACTTCACTTCTTTCTAAATTTTTTCATCAATAATCATTAACTCTCCAACAATTTCACTATTAGTAATTAGCGCATTATTCCGCGAATTCGATGATGTATTTGTGTAGTTTTGAAACATAAAAAATGCCAAAATAAACCACTAAACGTGTCGCCACCGAGCGAAAGTGTGGCCCACTCGGCGGCCAGCACGGTCGTCAACGGGTTATATGCGTTTTTTTGTCCTGTGTTTCGAAACTGGCAATATTAATCGGCCCGTAAGACTCCAAGGCGCTGGTGGCCCCAGACGAAGACAACGCCGCCCGTAACCCCTAACTAAGTTTAGACACATTTTCAACAAACTTCGTCCATTCATCTCTGCAATGGCCCCAGTTGTTGCGGTAAGTAAACGAAAAAACCTTCACCCCATTACTGTTGAGCAATAGCCACTGCGCTTAACAATCAGTCGTGATAAGTCAATCAATAATACATTATTTATAACCATTTCAGGAATTGGTGGCGCCAAATTCATTTCCTTCGAAGATAGACATTGGCATAATGACTGTTTCATATGTGCACAGTGTACGACGTCACTGGTAGGAAAGGTGAGTGCAGTACATTGAATCGATTTATTGATTACCTAAGCCCATTCGAGACAGGCACTGAGCGATCATTCATTGATTGACATCCTGTAGTGAATTTTCATCGCAGTTGAGCCCAGTTCATGTCCCAAGGCAGGAGGTGCTGCAGTTACGTACTTTGTTGCGCAACTGGCGTCACTCTCGAAAAATTTGGCACAGTTGCGCGCCGATTGTTCTCCACTTCCAAGTGAACTACCCGGATTACTCGATTACAACGGGCGGTGCTATACAAGTAGGGTGGGCACGCCGCATTTTTTGAACAGAAATGTATGTAAGTGGGACTGCTGCCCGCTACTATACTGTCACGAGAATCGGGGAATTCGTGAGCCAGGGTGTAGCCAATCTAGGGGGTGGGGGTGAGGGCAGTCACTTGACATGCGTGAAAAGCTGGGCGTGCCCACCCCACTTGTATAGAGCCCGGAGTTTTTACAGACCATATTAAGTTTATGAGAGCCAAAAGAGTTAGCCAAAAAATTTTGTTCTGAAAACTTAGAAGTTCCGAAAGAAGTTGTTGTCACATAATGTTTAGCGACCCATGCAATCTCTCTCGGGAACTGGTTTTATCAATAGATCAATTAATTCAGGTCAGGGCGGGTTCACCCGGTTCTGGTCGAAGGGTTTGGATTTTTCGGGCTTAGATTTTTCCTGTTCATCGACCTAATGATTAGCTAACTGAAGAGGAATATTTGCAGGGATTTATTACGGACGGCACGGATATTCTGTGTCCGGAATGCGCAAAGGCACGATTGATGGCCGCCAACTCATAACCTCTGACAATCGACGTGTGATCAACGCTCTATGGCATTCGCTTCTCTATTGTTTTGTCAGTTCATTCAAATTCACACAGAACACTTCTTCTTTTTCCTTCTTCTACGATTTCTATTCGCCTCGCGATAACGCTGCCCTTCAACCCATCACAATACGTACTACTTCCGTAGAAAGCCGTTCAAAGGGATGAGATGTCAGGTGATGTCAGCTGAAGCGATCAGCCACCACCACCCATTATTTCGCCGCCTACTGAAGTAATTTCTAGCCTCGCAAAGGGTATCTTTCTCACAATAGTGTTCCATTGTACTTAGAAAGGCACCCATCCACACACACCCCGGATATCTAGTCAGTTCCCCGTACATTAGCCCAGTGGATTGAATTTCTTCTGAAACAATTTTCCACCTCTCAATCCCTAAAACAAGATAGCAGTGTGTGCGGTAGCGCCGCCCAGACCGCCGCTGTAAACTCGTCCACCACGCGCGGCAACTCGTACACGTCCCCTTACCGCCCATCCGTCCACCACCAATCACACATCGACCTGTTTTACGTAGTAGCCATTTTTTCGGTTGCGTTTTCCTTTTTGTGTTCGCCACACGTCTCTTCTTCAAGCGCAACGAGATTTTGTATATATACTGAATGCTTTCTTGTGTGTACACCATGATGATGATGTGCGCCAGGCGCCCAGATTCGCGCCCGGCAGATTTTCCTCTTCTTCTTCTTCATCGTCTCCTCTTCATCCTTCTCCCTGTGTCGCCAAAGGCATCATACACAGCCGGCGGCATTGAAATATTTGAAAGACGTTGTTATAACTTAATAAATGCATTTCAAACGTTTTTCCTCTGCACATATTTAACCAATTGTTTATTACTAGTGATTATGTTAAAGTATAACGTGACTAATCAATGTGCCCTTCAACCAAACCATAAAATAACATCAAAATTAGGCTTGTGCAGACTTTTCTTTCTTTTCTGCTTTTTCAGGCATTATTTACTCGTGTAAGCTAAATCAACAAGGGCGCGTTAGAGGAGCTGACCTGCATTTCCGTTCCTTCCAGGCAGTAATATAACGCTGCTAGCCAGAACTCGAGAAAATCGAACCCCTTTGCCCGTTGATTACCGCACTGGAGCAATTCCCATCGGTGCCGCTCTCTTCTCTAACACTCTGTAAACAGCTGGGATCAGAAGGTGAGAGGGTAGGCGTGCCACGGCGCGAGCGGCGAGGTATGGCCATAATAAGGCCGCTGCGAGCCCAACACCTTTTCGCTAGCGAAACGGCGTGACACTGGCATCGTCCCGCAGTTGTAGGGATTGTCTGCATTTCGAGTGGCTATATTTACCCTTTTCAACATCGGGCCTTATCGAGGGATCCTCCTTTAACACATCGATGACAGCATGATGCGCATGCGTGTCAGATTTTCACGCGGATGAGCCTCGATTTCCTGGACATTTATTTGGTATTATTCACACTTCCAAACTGTGCCTTTACGTTACGGGGTTCAGAATAGGACGTTCAGTACCAGCAACTGAATTATTGAAGGGAAAATGTTGATTGTGAGAAGATATTAAAAAAGATGCCGAGCTACGCGCACAAGTAGAGCCGTCAATATGGTGAAAGGAGCGATCACAATAGTTTCTTTAGGGGCTTAGCGGACGTGGGAATGCTCAATGGTAAACCAGTGGCGAAAAAGCAGAAAATCCGCTAAAAACGCAAAACGAGACTCCCTTGCTTGGCTGTTGATGTTCGGTCTTGGACAGGCAATATTAGGGATATTTCCGATTGTAAAAATCAAGAATTTCACATGCCCTCCGAATAATTCGGAGTCGCAAAATACGACATTCTCTCCCATCGAGCAAATACGGCCACCATTGAGGAATTCTCGACTCCTTTACTTCTTCTCTCTGCCTGACACCTCTTTGAATTGGTATGGACGGTACTGCACTGTAACTGCGCAGCACAGCAATGCTTCGCCCTGTCTGTTCACAGCGAGGATAAGGGTCTCCTGTAGCTCACTAGAAAATTTACTTGCTCAGCACACCTCCATCCAATCAGTTTTCTGATAGAGTTGGTGCTAGATTGAATCGCATCGATGTTGGTGTGAGGTAAGAGAATGTTGGGGAGGGGCCATGCACTCGGCTACCGCTGCGAAACGTTCTCATTGTTGGAACGACATGTACTTTGGAAGCAATTGGAGTTTGGTAGAGGTAATAAGTGAAGTTGCTTCTATTCTCGTCCCTATCTTCACTCGTCTCATTTCGATGGACAACTTACTGTCTAGCTGAAAAGCTCGAGGTCCAGTATGTTCTGCTCTTCTCAGAATCTTCTGATCACCAAACCTGCAATTCTAGCTAGGTCACAGTGTCGTAAAACGAAGACAAGCTTGTAGTAAGGAAGAACATGCAACAAGAAACCATTCAGTCACAACTCACTGTTGTAGTGTAATCTAGTCTGAGATTGGTGGTAACGTTGCTACGAGGGGGGGGGGCAGCCGCGTCTATTCCCGCGCTTTTATGCAAAACGAGGACTCCGTCGACTAAGCGAGGAAGAGGGTGAATGTAGGAAGATCAAGGGGTTGAGGCAAGTCAATCGACGTACGTGAAATACTGGAATGTGGTCCACACTATCGTGCTGAGAGGACACAGACATGTCACAAACCCCGAGATTGCCTACGCCGACTACGTTAGGGTCCTGGAATTCACTAATCCATGTAACTCGAAAGGTCAGATGAATTGCAGTACTATGACTCCATGGAATACAGGTCACTAAGGCTAATTAGAAGTTAGGAGGTTAGTACTGTAGAGAAAATGCTATGTCTTGTTTGAAAGACCCCCTTTCAAAAAGTAGTCCTGTTGTTCTGTTTTTTCCCTTTGATGCTCTTAAGGCAATTCTCCTCAAATGCGAATTTCAACCTTGTTGCCCACCAGACTCTTCAAAACAGGTTGAACGAGAGGCGGCAAAAACTTTGGAATCTTTGAGATCAGCGTATTATAGCACGCTTCTTTCTGGCAAATTTTGAGATGAAACCTTTCGTCTGCCAGAATTTCCTATCGGGATTCTAGAATTCAATCCGCCAAATTGGTTGCATTTTTTCCATGCCTTACGCCCTTGCGGGTTCCAACATTGGAGGCCTTGCCGTGGTCAATGTCTCCACTCATTGCCTCACAAGCAACGCCGCCCCTGTGGTCTCCAGCACTGGTGTCGCTTGCCGTGGTCGCTGTCTCCACTCATTGCCTCACAGGCAACGCCGCCCCTGGTGGTCTCCAGCACTGGTGTCGCTTGCCGTGGTCT